GGGGAATTTTATAATGAAAGTGTGTCTCCTTCTCCCTTTCTGCACCAGCACAGCCCAGAGGGAGCTCTGCCATTTATGTAGGCTCCAGCTAATTTAGATAATCTGAAAATTAACTGACATCATTGTCTGTCTGAGAATTGCTAGGGGCATCCGGGCAGGTTTGGGAAGGTGAGAATGAATCTGGAGGATGTTCTTTCTTACAACATGGCGTCTCCCAAAAGCCTTCAGCACAAATATATGCCCCATTTATATACCCTGGATAAAATATACCCAGAACGGAAGATGCTTCTTGGATGAGAAGTGAAAAGTTGGAACTAATTTTTCCCTGTCCAGTTTGCAAGAACTATCCTGTAGACTTTTTGGGAGAGTGTGGTTAAAGGCAATATAATGCAAAACTTGTTTGTTTGTTTATACCAGGGGTAGGCCACCTTGGCTCTTTTATGACTCGTGGACTTCAACACCCAGAATTCCTGAGACAGCCATGCTGAGGGGAAAGGGAGAAGTTTCCAAGCTGAGCCAGGCTGGCTCAGGAATTCTGGGAGTTGAAGTCCACCAGTCATGAGGGGGCCATAATTCCCCCATGCTGGCTGAGGAATTCTGGGAGTTGAAGTCCACGAGTCATGAGGGGGCCATAATTTCCCCATGCTGGCTCAGGAATTCTGGGAGTTGAAGTCCAGAAGCCATGAGGGGGCCATAGTTCCTCCATGCTGGCTGAGGAATTCTGGGAGTTGAAGTCCAGAAGCCATGAGGGGGGCCATAGTTCCTCCATGCTGGCTGAGGAATTCTGGGAGTTGAAGTCCACAAGCCATGAGGGGGCCATAGTTCCTCCATGCTGGCTCAGGAATTCTGGGAGTTGAAGTCCACGAGTCATGAGGGGGCCATAATTCCCCCATGCTGGCTCAGGAATTCTGGGAGTTGAAGTCCACGAGTCATAAAAGAGCCAAGGTTGCCTACCCCGGGTTTATACCATGCCTTGCTCAGTTCTCCCATCCTGGGTCTCAGTGGGATAGCTAGATGCAACATTGTGCGGCACCAAAGTACAATAAGTGGGGGGGAAGAGCCAAAAAACAACAACAATAAAGGCTTGCTCTACCAATTCATTTAAATCCGTGTTTTTCAAACTTTAAAATATGAGAACTTCAACTCCCAGAATTCCCCAGCAAGCATGAAAAGAAATTAATTGCCCATAACTTTTGATAGAACCCTAAATTTCATTGCTCATTGTCAGAATTTGTGTTTCCACCTTGAAGTTTTTTTTTTTTATTTCCTCTTCCTTCTTTTTCCTTTGGCGTGGTGTCTTCCAGACTATTATCTGCGCGATAGAAAAATCAGCCATTTTCATGTGATCCGTGTCAGACGCTCTGTGAATCTCCCGGACTAAAAATAGGATAAAAATGCTATAAATAAATAAAAGGAGCATAGACTTGATTGTGTGGAGCTCATTGGGTTTGTCGAGGATAGAAGTCGTATTGATTTGGCCTGATTTTCTTTCAAGCGTACGTGGGACTTCCTGGACCGTGAGGAAGAACTGATTTTAATTTTCTGCCTTTAGCTAAATGATTTTTAGATGGAATTCCGATTCATCCTGCTTTGAGAATAAGTAAACAAGTAACAGTTTTATTTTTATTTATTTATTTATTTATTTTAATTTATATCCCGCCCTTCTCCCAACGGGACTCAGGGCGGCTCACAACATATTTAAAACAAAGGCATATATACAATCCCCCCCTGTAAAACCGAATTAAACCAAATTTTAAAGTTGTGTTATTTCGAATTCCTTAAAATGAACCCAGTATAAAATCCTCCCTAGGCCAGGTCCGC